GCAGAGGCCGAGAGTTACGCAGACCAAAGGACCAGGTTGGGGATAGGCTTGACTCCTGAGCCTTGAGGCTCTGGCTGTGTAAGCTTAGACTGGTCACTTAACCTTTTTGGAACACAGTCGCAATATCTGCCAAAAAACAAATCGGGAGTTAACTTGTCCCACTGTTGTGAGAGTTGCATGGAGACTCTATGGGGAAGCCATGGACAAGCTGGCAGGTACCAATACAGCATACCTCACCCCTCCTGACTAAGGTTCAGTCATAGCCCTTAAGGGAGCTTAGACCATGAAAGGAGAGGCCAGCAGCTCATGAAAGGCCAGAAGCTTCAGATGACCAAAAAAATTATTCAGGTGCTCCCTGGAACAGTGGTGGCCCCACCTAGCCCAGCTGGCCCACACTCCTCCTTCTGCCCTACAGTGAGCCCTCTGTAGACCAAGCCGCGGCCTTTTACCTTAGTCCTTCCAGGTATTTCTGCTGTACTCCATCCTTGTCCTCAGCTGCAGCTCACATGCTTCCATTTCTCAAAGGCCAGAGTGGGGCTGGAGGGGAGAACTAGCCCTTAACCTGGCAGCTGAGCACCAAGGGCACCTTGTCCTAGATAAGGATAGAAAAGTTCAAAGGACATGCAGCTACAACTGTTCGTAAAACTATGACCAGACCCCATCTTTTCCTATCCTCTCTGTGGCCTCTGGGAACCCAAAAGGTTCCTTCCTATAGGTTTCTACCTCTCAGCAGCTAACAGCAAGGGGCCTTTGCGTCTGTGCCAAGCTTAAGGCCCCTTTTCTTTTCTCTTTTTTCTTTCCTTTTCTTTCTTTCTTTCTTTCTTTCTTTCTTTCTTTCTTTCTTTCTTTCTTTCCCTCCCTCCCTCCCTCCCTCCCTCCCTCCTTCCTTCCTTCCTTCCTTCCTTTTTTTTTTTTTCAGGCTGGCCTCGAACTCAGAAATCCACCTGCCTCTGCCTCCCAAGTGCTAAGATTAAAGGCGTGAGCCACCACTGCCTGGCCCCCATTTATTTTCTAGTTGTGTGGCAAAGATAAAACTCTGCTTAGTGGGCAGGATAGATCAGAACAGTCCAGTTCATTTTAAGGCTCAGGGATTGTCTAAGCCACACAGGTGAAAGACAGGCAGTGTGACCAGGAATGTCCCTGACACCCGATCTGACCAGGGAAATCAAGGCAACAAAGTGCTCCCCCTTCCCCAGCTGGTGTTCAGCTTCTTCACAAATCCAAATTACTGTTGTCCACCTTCCCAGCAGAGAGGCAGGTCCTTAAAGGGCCTGCACCTTCCAGCACTGTCATGAAAGGTCATCTCCAACCTGTATCTCCTTCCTGGCCTGTAACCCTGTTCTTCCTCCAGAGTAGACCTCCATTCCCATCCTGGACTACTCACTCTGCAGGAATCTCCCCCAAACTCACAGCCTGACTAGTGACAAGGCCTACATCCCATCCTCAAAAGAGTGTTTTGTCCCTGAGCAGTCATACCTTCAGGAAGAGCTGTGGCTACGATCGGTCTACATTTCCAAAGGTCTCTGCTGTAGTATCCTGTAACGGTCAGTCTGTGGGAGTCAGGAGTCTTCCTTCTTCACCATGTCCCCACCCCAGCCTGGCTCTACAGTCCCATGGTTGCTATCGCCACAACCATAAGTGAGCACCTGCTGTTCAGGCATAAAGCAAGACCTTCATACAAGAGAGTTTAAAGAGTTGCAGAATCAAGTAGAGTAGGGGCTGAGGAGAAGAAGGCTCAGTTAGTACAGTGCCTGCTGCTCAAGCATTAGGCCCCGAGTTTGGATACCCAGCACCTTCATGGCCAAGTAATTCTGTAACCCTAGGCTGATAGTGGGAGGTACACAGGATGGGGAATGACAGGACAGACATACAGACATTCCTGGTGCTCCTACCAGTCAATCTAACTATTTGGTGAACACTGGGTTCAGTGAGAGACCCTGTCTCAAAACAATGAGATGAGGAGTGATTGAAGACACCTGGTACTGACTTTACTTTGATGTGCACCCAGAGACAAACACACACATACACCACACACACAGTAAAAATGGCCACTGACATCTGGGACACATAATCTCCACCCCACCCCATCTCAGCGTGAGCCTTATTTCTGAACCTGCCCTTCTGCCAGCCCTAGACCCTAGGCTAGGATGCATGTTCTCCATGTTACTATGTAATAAACACTACTGTTACTTTATAGTAGAAGTTTCATTCTGTCTGGATAAATATATCTGCATGGTTCTGGAGGCCCCAGAGCCCATCCCTGAACCTCAGTTATAGAAGGTAAAAGGAGTTGGCAAGTAAGCCTACTGGCCACAGATGTAAGTCCCCTGAAACAGCCAAGGTCCCTGTACTTGTGTTCTTTGGGAAGAATGGGGGGAAGGGAGCATTTGAGGCTTTTGAGACTGGGTAGAAAGGGGTGGAAGGATGTCTGTCAACAAAGTTGGGGAGACAAGAGCCTGAAGGTAGGATAGACAAGCAAGGAAAGATGATGGAGTCTGTAGTAAAGGCCAGGGAATTGAATTGTGTTCAGGTCCAAAAGGCCTGGAGATGAGGGGCATGCTGGCTGCACTCTCCCAAGGTTACAGCTGCAGAGAAGATTTCATATGGGCCCCATTGATGCTGAGCCACAAACCTCTGAAGGTACAGAGGAGGTCATGGCTGTGAGGTAGTTGCCATCCCTAGTACATCTATGTCTGTTTCCCGGGCTAGTCACAAACTCCTGGGACATCAGTCATGCCTCCCTATCGTCTGGGACTCTTAAGTACATGTCACTAATCTTAGTTTTCTGATGGGAGATCCCTTCCTTCTAAGCACTAGACTTAGGTCTCCAGCCCTAGGAAGACCCTCTGCCTTCCTCTCTACTCTTGGCTTGCTCCTCAGAGCAGAAAAGAAGTAGATCAGTCTCGCTGCCTTCAGTTCCCAGCTTGGCCAGTCACCAGCTGTATAGTCCTGGGCCAATCACAACTTCCTCTAGCCTATTTAATTAGTTTTATGTGAATAAGTGGTTTGCCTGGATGGATGGATGCGCACCACCTGTGTGCCTGGTGCCCCTGGAGTCAGAAGAGAGTGTTATACGCCTAGGAACTAGAGTTAAGATGGTTTTGAGTCTCCATATGGGTGCTGAGAACTGAACCTGAGTTCTCTGGAAGAGCAGCCAGCACTCAACCTCTGAGCCACCCCTTCATCCCCAAGTCCATTTACTTAACAAACTATAAAATGGAATGAAAATGACTTACCTCACGGGGCCTGTGAAAACTTAAAAAGTTAATAAAAATTATACACGTAACTGTTTTTGCTTATGCTTTCTACTCCCTTTGTTCTTGGGCACAGCTTCTATCTCTTGTCTTTATGAAGTTGGTATGACACGTATAGCCAGTAGACGAGAACCTTTACTGCTATGAGCTGGCCCCTATTGTGTCTTAGACTGGAAGAGTGGGGTTTGTGGTTTAAAGTGCCTTGGCCTGCCTACCTGTTTCTCCCACTGGACTCAAAACACTAATAAAGCAGGGGTGACCTCTTGTCTGTGTCACCTGATCATTCAGCAGAATTCTAGCCCAGGCACAGGCCTCGAAGGTGGACCACATTGTGAAGTGAACTTTCTTGGTCATACTGAATCACAGAAGCAGGCCCAGAAAAAAATAAAAAAATTCTGGTCACTCGGTTCCTCCTTGCACCATCAGCTGTTCACTAGCACCCCTCTGACCTTTCTCAGCCAAAGTAGGACTTGAGCATCTGTTGGGAACCTAGGCAGATCCATTTCTTTATCATTTGGAATGAATGCTTGGAGTGCTAACAGCTCTGGGGGCTCTGCCATTGGCTTCCCAAAGCTGTCCACTGAGTTTGTGTGATGGAAGCTGGGTTTATCTTGCCCCAAGCTCCGTGCCCTGTTAGCAGAATTCCAAATACCAAATGATACTATGTTCTGACCTGTGAGGCAGGCCATTTTCCTTTCAATCTCTTCCTCCTGAGACATTAGCCTTGAGTGCAGCAGCTGTGCAGTGGACTCGGAGGAAAGGGAGTAAATGACGAGTGAACCCAACCCCTGTGGATGCCAACTCTGCTGAGAAGAAGATGAAAACAGAGGGTCTGCTCCTGGGAGGCACACTGGCATGTAAACACGTGACTTTGCACGTGCTTTCAGGTTTGGGGACATCTGAAACTCCAAGAGAAGTTCCAGGAACAGAAATCTGAGTTCTTGAGTGAAGTGGCTATTTGTCTCAATGGGGACCTCTCCCTGCAGTCTGCAATCTGGCAGGGTGGAGTATGGAAGACCCAAGAGTTACAGATGCCAGTTGCCCTAATATTGCACCAGACTGTGAAGCCCCCTTCCCTGGGGCTCCCCCACACCTAGGCCATCACGTACACCATCACAAGAGAGGCTTAGGACTAGGGTATATGCTGAGGGACCAATGAGGGTCTGTCCCACTGCTCAAGAGTACAGCAGATGGCTTTTTGTTTAGGCAATGAATTTCTTAGCAGTGCCTTGAGGAGCCCAGAATGTTCTCAATCACCTCATCCCAATTTATATTTGAAATCTTCTGCTTCACAGGGAAATAGAGGACATAAATCTAACCTGCCCACTTCCTATTAGGGAAGTTCTGGTACCAGGAAACGCCAAAACACAGTAGTATATGGTAAGGGGTCCAGGGAGGTGTCATAGATCTCTTCTTTCCTCTTAAGGGCTTGAACTCAGGTAGAGGCTACAAATTCAGGATCTTGGTAAGGAGTTGCAAGCAAGGGACAAGAGCATGTGCCAGCCCAGCATTAGGGAGACCTGTATCCCAGCCCATCCATGCCTCCACCCCAGCTAGACTTGAGGCTTAGGTCCCGATACTCTACCCAAGTCCACAAAACACCCTTCACCAGCCCCTACACCCTCTCTCCATTTCCCAGGAGTTAGTAAAGAACAGGCAAGGGTAACATCCTATCATCTGTGGTCCTGACCCTTCGCCAGACTTCCCCTTCACTCTTCCCCCACTCCCGAAAGCCTAGGACCTCTCTGAGGAAGCATTAAGTTTATTTCTTGAACTGAATTGCTGGGGAGAAGATGGGTGGGGCCACCATACTCCCTCTGTCTGGCTAGGGGTCCTGAGGTGGCACGGTCCAGCCATAGAAGGATCAGCCTTTTCCCCCCACAGATTAATGCCAGGGAGTCAGATAGTTGATGCGACTGCAAAGAGAAAGAGGGGTGAGATGGGGACTCCAAGGTACACTAAAGAAAAAGCAAGTTTTCCTCCCCTAGCTCCACCCCCCAGCCCAAAGTCTCTGCCTTCAGGGATCTGAAAACAGTTTCCATCCAGTCTGTGTGCCCAAGAGCCTTCAGTAGCTCCCCATTTCCTCTTGTATATTTTTGGCTATTCTCTTCTCCTGTAATTTATCTCATACTGTTTCCCACTGGCTCCCATCCATAACGGCTTCATGGGTTTTCAGTCATGTATGAACCTACTCTAGCATCACACAGTAACAAAACCCAGAGTCTTTCTCTCGGAAGGCAACTTTCAGGAATAGAAAAAGGAGACACTCTGCATGCTACAAGATAAAGGTGCTATGGCCCTTGGTCAGGGGTGGGGTGGGACTGGTTGGATGGGGGATGGGACTAGAGGGCAACATTGAAGGGGTTAAATAGGTTTTTGCTCCTCTTGAATTTGTTTGCCTGGTCCCAAATATTGGAGGGCTTCATACCTTGCTCTTTATACAGGAGTCAGATTTATAATACTTCCCCTTTTTTGTTACGTATGAACTCTATAAACCAAATTATTTTGAAAACTGTGCATTACCTTGTCCTTAGCAATAAAATGTATTGAACAGGAAAAAAAAAACAAGATAAAGGTGAAACAGGACTGTGCACTATAGGGAGAGGCAGGGTGTCCGGTTGTGCCAATGAGAGGGGGTCACAGCGCGGAGTTTGGCACTGCTGAGACGCACAAGGCGTGGCTGAGAGATGCCTCAGAGTCTCTCGAACTTCCACCTTATTATCGGAGCCTTTAACCCAGGGTGACCCTGCTGAGGGCGCTACCTTGCAGTGGGAAGCAGATGGCAGGCAGTTTCTTCTCTACCCTGCCAGGTACTCCCCCCCACCCCACCCCCAGCCCAGGCCCTCTAAGCTGCCTGTAGAGCGCCCGGCTGAGCAACTCAAGGCACTCTTGTTAGGGGGCGTGGCCTACAGCGACCAGGGCGGGGCCATTCTCTACCTGTAGTGGGAGCCAAAGCGCCGGAACGTGTTCCTGCGAAAGAGAGGAGAGCCTTTCTGAGATGCCAAGTTCTGGCACGATAACTGCTTCATGCACCGGCTAACAGGCGCCGGTTCGGTAGGAATTCAGCATCTGTCCTACAGCTATGATCCCTTTCCCCTGCTCGGGGATAGAGGTCCCGAAGGGGTCCTGCATATTGTCACTTACAGCGAGTCGAAAGGCAGGGGCTTCTGTCCGTAGCGGTCTAGGCTGGGGTTCTGATTGAGGCAGTACTGGAATGGGCCACAGGAATGGGAACCCGTAAGCCTGCGGGGCGCAGACCCCAGCAGCCGGTCCCTCCCAGCCATTCCGGTCCGATCTGTTTGCATCTTTCCCTACCCGCCAGTTCTGGGTCAACTCCGGCTTCAAGTACCGCACCGCGTAGCCACTGAAACCCTCCACTGTGGAGAGAGCCCAACTTGGGAACCTAGATCCGAACATTTCAACCTACCCTCACCTAAACCCCATCTTTGCACGGAATCCCCGCCCCTCCTGAGCGCTGCTTGGCTCTCAGCCCCAGCCCTAGTGGCTTCCCTGACCTTGAGTTGCTTCAGCGCTCCCCCACCCCCACCCCGCCCGCACCCTCACCACTCTCACCACCCCTTCCCTGTCTCGGCCCCTGTGTTCCAGATCCTTGGGCCTATGGCCCTTATTCCCTGCTTTAGAGACACCATCAAATGGCAGGAGATCTCCCTACTCTTAAGAGCATCATCCTTTGCGGTTGGTAGACTGACCCCTTTTGTTGGCGCAAGGCAGCTTGAACTCTTGGGACCTGGACACGAATTGAGACCAATCTTCGATAGCACGCGTGAAGCAGGGCCAGTCGACTCGGTTGATGCCTGGCGCGATCGGAGTCATCTTTCCGCCACGGTACTTGTGACAGAGCTTCTGGCCGGTTGCTGTGAAGTCCTATGGAACGTTGGACCATAATGGCAGATGCAAGATGCCAGAAGGCTTCCTGGGCCTGACCTGATATTAGTTGGGCCCATTGGATTGAGGATGCAGGAAACAAGGGCTTGGGTTGGGTGGAGGTGAGAGATTCAGGTAGGCAGGTGGGAATATGCTCAGGCAGTAGAGCCTTGGACCAGAGGTGCTTGGACCTGGGCACAGACTGGTGCTACTGAGCCCATCTAGGGCTGGGGAGAAAGGACACTCACCAGGCATTGCAGGGGTTTGTTAGGGACCCCTAGGAGTGTGAAGTGGGCATTGTTGAAATCATCTGTTGAAAGAAGATAAACGTGTCCCTTCAGGAGCCCTTAGGACAGGCCCACTCTAGAGACTTGGGCCAAACTATGCACCTTAAGAGAAAACATGTTTTCCCAGGTACAGTGGCACATGCCTTTACTCCCAGCACTCACGAGGCAAAGACAGAGCTCTGTGATTTCAAGGCCAGCCTAGTCTACCTATCAAGTTCTGGGCCAACCAGGGCTACATGGTGAGATTCTGTCTCAAAGGAAAAAAATAATAGTTCTCAAATATTTAAGATAAAACTGTATTTTTTTACAATAAAGAAAAAAACTATATAGTGTGGTGCCTATGGGGAGTGGCACTATTAGGAGGTGTGGCAATGTTGGAGTAGGTGTGGCCTTGATGCCTCCACCTGGACATGGAGGATATGTGTCACTGTGGGGGTGGGCTTTGTGGTCCTATGCTCAAACTGGAAGAGAGAGTTTCCTCCTGGCTGCCTGCAGAGGCCAGTCTTTTTCTGGTTGCCTTTGGATCAAGATGTAGAACTCTCTCAGATCCTCTGTCTGCACGCTGCCAGGCTTCCTGGCATGATGATAATGGACTGAACTTCTAAAACTGTAAGCCAGCCCTGATTAAATGTTTTCCTTTGTAAGAGTTGCCTTGGTCATGGTGTCTCTTCACAGCAATGAAACCCTAAGACAGATTCATATGAAAACTTAGAAGCAGTAGAAAAAAATGTAAACAAATTCCTCTATAAACCTAGGACAGGACTTTTAATTCCCATAAAAAACCAAAAACTGAAAGAAAAGACCAATAACTTTGAGTAAAAGGTATGTGTCTGCTGGCCCCGATGGCCTGAGTTTGATATCTGCTACCCACTTGATGGAAGGAGAGAGCTGACTCCTAAGAGCTGTCCTCTGACCTTCAAGAATGAACTGTGGGCTGTCAGTACATGCACACACGCATATGTCGTACATATGTGAGTGAATAAAAAAAAAGCAAGCACAAAAGGAATCAAAAGGGGAAAATACTTCTACTGGTTTTATAGCTGATGCAATTTTCTTAATGTTGGAGGGGCTCCTAGAAATAAAGACAAAAAAAAAAAAAGGAAAGAAACATGGATAAACCACATGTTTAAGTAGTTCATGCACAAGTAGTAGAAATATATTTGGCTTTACGGGTGCTAAAATGAAAAGACGCCCAGTTTCATTCACAAGATGAATGCACATTAAGACAAGTTCTCCTCCACTTAAGCAGCCAGACCAGGAACAATATAAAAGTTAGTACAGCTTTAAAAGATAGCCCTCTCATCATACATTACCAGGGACTGTGTAAATCAACTGGAGCCTACAGACTGAGGTCCAGTAAATATTACTTATCATAATTATGACTATCCACATGTCCTTTGATCCCACAGTCTAGCAACAGACAAATGATGTTAGAAGAAGGTGACCTATTTTCATGTTTGTAACAGCAAAAGAATGTAAGTGACAGTCATTAAACCAAATATGTCCAACCACTCCTGCACTAGGGAACTGCTGAGAATTACTTGAGAACATAGTGTGGTATGCACAGCTGGGATGCCAGCACTTGAGAACATAGTGTGGTATGCACAGCTGGAATGCCAGCGCTTGAAGGAGGATTATGAGTTTGAGATCAGCATGGGCTGTATAGTGGAGCTTGGTCTCAAAAATCTAAGGGTTGATGTATAGCTCAATAGTAGAGAACTTGTCTAGTATGTGTAAGACTGTCTTCAACCCCAGAACAACAACAAAAAGTATTAATTCGAGACCCTGTAAGTTTAGAATCTCTAAATCTCAAGACTATTGGAGACCAAGAAGAGTTCACCCTCAAGTCACCACCGTAACCAAATTGCCAAAGTTAGCAGCCGAAACAAAAAGAATTCTGTGTCCCTCCTTAGGTCACCTGTGAAATACTAACCGTGGATAATCAGGCCTTTAGAGCCAGTTTTTCTGTTTTTTGTTTTTTGTTTTTGTTGTTGTTTTTTAAACAAGGTAAGTATACCCTGGAAACAATTGCTGAGACTGACTACATAGAACTGTCTACAGTCCTGCTGTTTACACCCCTTTAAAAAGTCAACAGTACATCCTTCCTCAGGGTCTGGTCGGGTAGACAGATGAACTAGAAGAGATCAGGTTGAGTGAGGTAATCAAGATCCAGAAAGACAAATGTCACACATTCTCCCTCATCTGAGGTTTCTAACTTGAAGTCTTTGCATGTGAGTACATAACCTGGAGTAAGTGCAGAAACCAGGAAAATAAAAAGAGACCACAGGGTGGTGGGGGGCAACAGAGAAGGAGATGGCAGAGCACAGGAGATGTGAAGGAGGAAATGGGAGAATAGAGAAACATCAGGGAGGGGGAGAAAGATGACTACAGGAGGAAGGGTTATAAGATAATAATAAGGATGCTTGAAAAGTCATAAGGAATCATACTATTATCTAACAACATAAAAATACCTATAATACATGTAGTCTCTCTCTCTCTCTATATATATATATATATGTGTGTGTGTGTGTGTGTGTGTAAATGAAATGAAAATTTCCATGAGTTGACAATACTCCCCCAACCCAAGTACCATATACCAACTTATACAAACAAACAACAAATAAAACCCAACACCAGGCAAAAGAAGCCCTCTTCTGAGTTTTTGGTCGAGATTGTCCAAGAGCCTTCTTCCAAAATATTATAGGCTATAGTGTTGCCCTTGGTTGCCTCCCAGAGGTAGCTCTGACTAAAGGCACTATGCACTTTGGACATAGGACTCAGACAGAGGACCTGAGCTGGATCTGACCTGAAAGCCTCTTCCCTGAGGATTAGCTTTCATGATACCTTCTGGTAAAGCTTCCAAGGGAGGAAAACAAGCAACAGTTCCACCCAGCTATGATGCCTGTGAACCACAACAATGCCCAACATGGCATGATAACCCTAGGGGTACAGTAGTGGCATGGGTACCTTGGCAGTAACCAACAGCTCTCTGATTGAACTAAAGAGCTACTCATCAAGGGAGAAATCGTGGCTGGTTGAAAAACCTAACCAACTATAACACAACGCTTGTGCCCAAGTCTCAGGAGTCATTGTGGAAAGAAAGGCAGAAAGAGCATAAGAGCCAGAGGAACAGAAAGTTTGCTCTGAGATTGTGTCTCTAGAAATTTCAGAGAAGCTACACTTGTGAAGTCTCACCAGCATGGCTGCCTATTCATGATCTGAACAAGGATGAAACCAATAGACATCTAACATGGAAGCAGGGAAAGTCTTAAGAGCTCAACCATAGACAAAGAACTACAGGCAACTAAGGAATACTGAGAGACGAAGAAACAGTCTCCTCCAGGGAAGAGCACACCGGTTGGTTATCCAATACCAAGTGGTCAGACCTGACAACATTACATATGAGTACCAGTAAACAGACTGAGCATATTGTATTTAGGAAAGTATGTAAGTATGTATGTATGTATGTATGTATGTATGTATGTGTATAAGTATTATATATGTATCAACAATTAAAGAAAAAGAGGCCATGAGTTTTAGAGAGAGCAGGAAGAGAACATGGGAGGATTTGGAGACAGGAAAGTGAAGGGGAAAATGATGTAATCTTAATTTTAAATAAATTACAAAAAATTATAATAAAAAGTCAGAAAGAATGGAAATAGGTGGAAAGTTGCTTTAGGCTAATAAGGCTTAAGGCTCAAGACTTAATAATTTATACATAAGGTCTGGAGAGAAGGCTCAGCAGTTAAGAGCACTGACTGCTCTTCCAGAGGTCCTGAGTTCAATTCCCAGCAACCACATGCTGGCTCACAACCATCTGTAATGGGATCTGATGCCATCTTTTGTTGTCTGAAGACAGTGACAGTGTACTCACATACATTAAATAAATAATTTATACATAATCCTAGATTCCATCTCCTTTCCATTTTAAGCTATAAAAGACATATTTAAAGACTCTGGGGGAGATTTTAACGCGTGCTGGTTATTAGATGCTGTGGAATTATTGTTAACTTTTCTAGATATGATAATGGCATCGTGCCACGTAGGAGGTTGTTCTTGTCGATGGGGACTACCTGGCAAAGTTTTGCATGCACACATGTCACAGACATGCACAGGCACCACTTGAGCCCTCTGCCACAACATAAGAAGACCAGGCATGGGGCTGCGGATCTGTGACAGGAGGAGCACAATTTAAGGACAGCCTGGGCTACCTGTTGAGACACAGTGGGGGAGGCACCTCCAGAACTGCCATCTAAAGAAACCTTATTTTGTTAAACCTAGAGGACATGAAAGAACAATGCCACCTACAACAGCAGCAGTAGGGCCTGTATGATCTGTGGATCGTCATATAGTGCGAGGAACCCTGCCCTTCATATTGTTTTACATAGTCAAGGGAGGCAGGCTCTGTTCCTGTGCCCATTTTTCTGCTCAGGAACTAGAGGCCAGACCTTGAAGGAGCTTTCTGGAAGGAAACAGCCAGCTGGACTGGCCTTTCTCATGCTTTCACACGCTGCTTGTTCCCGCCTTTTCTTCCAAGACCTCCATTTTGCCAGCCACCCTTGCTCCAAAGGCAAACAGGAGACCCTTAGCTGTTGCTGCCAACATGACCTGACCTTTGGAGAAGTAGGTGGAAGACTGACAGTGTTCATCGGAGAGGCAGCCCTTGACAGTGTCCATGTCCATGCGCCGAAGAGAAGGCAGGGCCGGGTTGTAGAGCTGGTGCTTCACACCAGCCAGTGGGCGACGCACTCGCTCCAGAGGGAGCAGAACGGCTGGGGAAGCATACATGTGGGCGGAGCATTCGTCCCAGGGCACTAGGTCTATGATGCGGGCCATCACTGGGAAGAGAGGGGCTGAGTCAGATGCCCTTCCGTACAGGCACGTGTTCTTGGCCTATGTTGATTTAATTATTTCTCAAACATTTACTGAACGTCTTCTGTGTGCCCAGTGATTTTTCTGAAGCTCCACATGGGGCAGCAGGGACAATCAAACAACAGATATATGTGTGCTTGGTTGTGTGCACATGTATACACACACACACACACACACCCTGCCCCCAGTGCTCTGAGGGAGATCAGCACAAGAGTATGTGTGTACCTGAGAGGGCTGGAGAGCTAGGGCGCTCCAGGAACTGTCTAAATGAGGTGAAACTTAAAATATTGAACAGGAAAAAGCCACAGTAAAGCTATTTAGAATGTAGCTTAGAATGCCGCTCGGCTTATGATGCTAGGCAGCCGACTGTGGATTTGCCTAGGTCATATTTAGCATTTGTCCCAAAATGCTATATATAGACAGATGAGACTTTTAAAGAAAAGAGAGACATGTGACAGATCTGAATTAGAAAAAATATGGATGGTTACTTAGTGTCTCCGTTTTAAAAAGCAGATATTCCCTGGAGGCCCCCTTTCACTCATTTACAACCCAGAATTTGTTGACCCTGCTATCCTGATCCCCAAGTTACAGGTAAGAAATGGTGATGGGGTGGGTAGTCAGGAGGAGAGAGGAACTTGACCATGGAATGTAGCTGGTCTTTGCTACTTTATAGGATCTTCTTTCTCCTACCCTTCTCCACCTTTCCCCACCCTTTCAACCCCCTACCACTAGATAGGAGAGAAAAAGGATAGAGAGAGGAAAGAGATCCCTGAGTCTAATTTCTTTTCTTCTTGTTTGTTCTCTCAACATGACTACTAACAAACCACAAACCACAACCAACCCCCCACCCCCACCCCCACCCCTGAACAACCAAAAACAACCCATAATCCTCTCGGGGTCCTAGCATTTATATAACCCTCTGAAAAGTTCCCAGAATTCCAAAAGTCACACAATCACAGAAACTACCTGCAGCTGGCAAAATTATGCCCCTGCTAGAGCACGAGGCAAATCATAGGCAGCTGCTTCAGACAGTCCAAGGCAGCCCCCATATTCCTACACCTGGTATTAAAATAAAAGCACATTCTTAAAATATTTCTGCATTAAAAAAACCCAAAATTCTCACTATAATGAAGGATCAGGAAGGGGCATGGTGATAAAATGGAAAAGCTGTCTTGGAGTTGACACTTCATGAGAAATGACAGAGCGGTAGAACACGGAGAGAAAGGAAGAGAGAACACCCTGCTGCCATCTACCCATAGCCTTTACCTCCTCTGCAGGGCACAGGCCCAAGCACAGGCAGATAAGAACCGTCTATCCTTTCTGCTGCTCGGTGGGTAAAAGAAGGGATGTGGGTGTGCCTTCTGGGCAACTACAGGATAAGGTGCATCACAGAGACAATGCCCACTGCAACCTGATTGTGAGGAAGCTCCTGGTAACCCTGGGCAACACAGGCTGCCAGGATCCCTAGGCACTGGACATCCATTTCATGGGTCTCCATGGCCACTACATAAGCATCTTGGAAAATGTCAGAACTGAGGCTCTATAGAGGTGACCTGGCCACACCAGGGAAGGGATAGCGCTGGCCCCACCCCAGCCTGTTTCACTCTGTTGGCTAGTTCAACTTGATACAAGCTATAGTCATCTGAGAGGAAGGAACACCAACTGAGAAATACCTTCATAAGATCAGCTATAGGCAAGCCTGCAGGGGATTTTCTTAATTAGTGATTATGCAGAGGGCCCAGCCCACTGTGGGTGGAGCCATCCCTGGGCTGCTGGTCCTGGGTTCTATAAGAAAGCAGGCTGAGCAAGCCATGAGAAGCAAGCCAGTGAGCAGCTCTTCTCCATGACCTCTGCATCCTGCCTCCAGGATCCTGCTCTGTTTGAGTTCCTGTCCTGGCTTCCTTCAGTGATGAGCAGTGGTATGGAAGTGTAAGCCAAATAAACCCTTCCCTCCCCTACTTGCTTTGGTCTTGGTGTTTCATCACAGCAATAATAACCCTAACTAGGACAGTGACCCTGGACTAGTTACTACTACTGCCACTCTCTGGACCTAAGAGTACTGTTCGTGTTAGGCAAAGACCCTAGGTTCTGTAACACAGCTGCCTGGGAGCCTGGAGGGGCCCCTATCCCCATGAGTCTCAGGGAAGATGATGCTGTGCTGTCTTTGGTCTTTGGGGGTGATTAGCCAGGCTTCAGGGTCAGGGCAGGGATCAGGCAGAGTGGTAGCCTCAGCAGGCTAGGGATTAGCACATGATACTCCACCCCACCCCCATTCTGCCCTACTCACTGCCTGGGGAACTGCAGTCTCCATCCCTGCTGGGAAAGCCAGGCTAGGTGTATCCTGGTCCACAGTCCCAAAGCCTCAAGCCCCCCCCCCCCCATCTGAGCGGAGTGAGACATCCCAAGATTTGGAATCCTGGGGCTCCCTATTGTTTTGCATATATTGGCATATGATTTGCATATACCTGCATAAATGCTAAACCTGTCGTTCAGAATTTCCTGTTGTTAGAGTCCTGTAAGATTTGGTGCTGCTCCTCTATTAGGGACCCAGGAACTTAAGAAAGCACCCTAAATTCTTAAAGAAACTTGCCCAGTGCTGACCCTACCCCCAACCTAAGGTCCAACTCTTTTGTTCTGTTTGATTTTCAAAACCAAGACCGAGTTTCTCTGTGTAGCCCTGACTGCCCTGGAACTCACTTTGTAGACTAGGCTGGCCTTGAACTCAGAGCTCTGCCTGCCTCTGCCTCCTGTGTGCTGATTTAAAGGCATGTGCCATTACTGCCTGGCAAGGTCCAACTCTTTTTAAAGTTTGAAAACAGGTGAGTGTAGTGGTACACACCTTTAATCGCTGTGAGTACAAGGACAGCCTGGTCTACATAGTGAGTTTCAGGCCAGCCAGGGCTACAGAGCATGACCTTGTTGAAAAAACAATCAAATTTAAAGAAAAAATACAGAAAGTATATACATTTACAATTTAGTAATTTACAAATTGATGTGTACCTACCTACTCCAATCCCGGTCCCATAACTGCTGTTCAGGTCCAGACACAGGGTACTAGTTTTGCTAAAGAATTTAGTGGGAAGAGGCATGGTGGTGGCATCTGAGGGCCACCTTTTATCCTTCCCATATGGAACTGTGCTGTGTCAGAGCAGCCTCTGTCACTATGAATTCACTGCCATGTGCCACTTTCTAAGATCCTTACAGAAGTTGCCTCTTGAAGCCTTTAACACAGGTGCCAGAAAAATCCACACTGCTTCTGTCTGATCCCTGTTCCTGCTGCCCTGTACCTGTCCTGTCAACAGCAGGAGGAGGGTGTTCAGGGTGCCAGCCCAAACTTGCTAGTCACTGGGAGTTGTGTTAGCAGTCATCGATACCCCTGCAAGGGAAGCTTCCTTGCCCACAGCAGCAACAGTGGCAACTCAGATTATAAACATCAACATGACCTCCAGTGGCAGCGAGGACCACAAACATTGGCACACCCTTCAGTGGAAGCACAGGCCACGAATATCAACACAGCCTCCAGCTACAGCACGAAGCATGGACATGTATGCAGATACTCAGAGCAATGTGGTTTACAGTCAAAAGGTGGAATCAAGCTTGGTGCCCATGGCCAGAAGTCAGAAACAAACAGTGGAGTGTCTATATCACACAGACACCACCACCTACTAGGAACAAGAACTGCCTGCCCAGTGACCACCTCCTCTATTTCTTGGATCTTCTATGGCAGCAGTGAACAGTACATTTCTGTTGCTTGTAAATTACTTGGCTTAAGGTGTTGTATTACAGTAACCAGAAGCGATAGGACAATGGGCTTTGGTAGAAACCCTAAACTAGCTTCATTCAACCAGTTTCAATCCAGTCACTGTGTAGCTGCTGGGAACAAAAGTGTGTCCCTGATCCCCAGCCCTGATGCTGGGACTTAGGAGGATCTCTGGAAGAGCCTCTTAGCCATTCCTCCAGCCCAAGATACTGTTTCTTAATATACTTGCTTGGCATAAGATATACTTGTCCCAAGCCATGTGGTTCTGCTTTTCTGGATATGTTGATAAATACAGATTTTGGCTTGAGGCCTTATCCTGGGCCAGTGGTTTTTGTGATAATGTTTAAGCTGTTAAAGACCCCCCGACACACACACACACACAGAGATCCTACTGAGTCCTGGCATCAGGGCAGGAGAGAAGGACACACTCTTGTCTCCCAGACTGAGCTGATGGGCTCCTGTAACCTTGAGGAGGCTCCCAGAACCACAGAGGTATCCCGGCTATTGGTTGTTCTGCAGTCTCTCTCAGGCTTTGTCACAGCATGTGGGAAGCCAGACCCTGGCACTGGGGCAGGTTCCCTAGTAACTCACTGGGCCCTAAACCTGTGTCTAGGACCCTGCTGGACCCTTGGGGGTTGCTGCTGGCTCCCCTGGACACCAGTGTTCTGTCTACCCCGCCCCCGCTTCTGCACATGCTAATCCTTTGCACCCGGCCCATCCATCTACTGCCAATTAATCCTGGCTGGGTCTGAGAGAAGGCTTCTGGGGCACTGAGAAGGCAATTCCTGGCTAGCGCTGACATCTGAACAGGTAACTCAAAATGAAGTGGGGGCTCTGTGGGACTCCTTGGGGGATCCCCATGCTTGGCTTTTAGCAGGGCATTTAGGTGAGGGAATAGAGTAGGCAGGAGAGCTACGGTGCCCAGTCCCCACAAAATTTCCTGTGGCTTAGACTTTGGTATCTTCAGAACAATCCAGAACAGAGAAATGTGGATTCGACATCCCCAGAGGGTTTGGGGGAAGCTAGGAATCTGTATTTTCTCCAGCTCTCCCAGAAGATTCTTGGAATCCTAGTGGTCTAACTACAGATTCCTGGGTGGCTGCCTCCCGGTTCTTGTCTTTCAAAACGAAAGGGCAGTGAGATAGGCTTCCAGATTCCAGTCAAGAAAAAACTGGGCTAGGAGGCTGCTTCCCTAGATAACCTCCAGACAGTTCAAAAATTCAAGCTAGGATTATTGCCCATTACAGCAGAAGTCAAGAGAAGGCAGTCAGGGACCAAGGACAGATCTCAGCGTATACTCATTTTGGCCAGAGTCACCTTAGACAAGTCTGTTGGCCTGAGGATGGATATCCCCCTTACAGAGAATAGAGGGCAGGCAAGATTGTCAGGAGAATGAGTGTAATCAGAGGGATGTGGAAACCAGGTGTGGAGGAAGGCTTTCTTCAGGTCTGGTTCTCAGAACTGCTGGGAGCTGGCTGGGGTCTGTCTGTGTGTTCTCCCATTCCATATGTGTGACCTTGGGAGGAACTTACTGTGTCTATACCCCACAGCCAGTAGAGATCTGGAAGAACACATTGGTTGTATCTGGCCCCCGTTACTTTTCCGTAGGCTCATCTGCCTCTGGAGCTTAAGCTCTGTCTCCACAGAGGCTGCTCTGGGAGCAGCTGAGCCAGAGCTGGGACAGAGGTCAAGGTTTTGGGTCAGTCAAGCAGCCTAGTAACGAGCTCTGGGAAGCTGGCTATGGGGCCACTTTTTTCCCTAAGGAGTCCTTGAAGAGGCAGACAGGGAGGCATAACCTTGGTAGGACTGTGTCCTGGGTGGCCATTTGTGGGCCTGTCTACATGTCAGCTCTCATAGGACCACCGATCCAGGCCATCCTGCAAGGATTCAGTCAGATGGAGCTTGGCTCTCCGTGCGCTTAATATTAATGAGGCAGAAACTGTCATCATCAACCATGACAGAAAGCCAACTGATATTTTATTCTCAAAGCAAAAACTATAAGTGTTGTTATTTATTTTTGAGAGAAGTCTCACTGTGTAGCTCTGGCTGGCCTGGACCTTGCTATGTAAACCAAGGTGACTTTAAATTAACAGAACTCTGCCTGCCTCTGCCTCCTGACAGCTGGCATTAAAGTTCCTAGCTAATGTTATCTTAGACTTTCTGTCCATAAGTCGCTGGCATATCTTCTCTGTCATGGGCTTCTGCAGTGCATGGTATTCCATAATTAGTGGTCATACTCAGTGCCTGTCCCTGTAGTCATGGGTACTCTTTTTTTTTTGAAGCCCTCAGCATGGGCCAGTCATTGGCCAGCAGATAGTATCTGAACAGATAACTCCAAATTTAGTGAGGGCTCAGTCACTGGTCTAAGAATGTTGCCTTTATTAGTTTTTGTTTGATTGGTTTTGTTTGTTTTGAGATAGTGTTTCACCATATAGCAGGCTGGCCCAGGACTTGCAGAGATCTGCTTGTCTCTGATTCCCAAATGCTGGGATCAAAGGCATGTGCCACCATGCTGGGCTCATTTAATGACTTTTATCCTCACACTCTGCCCACTAGGTAGACACTATCGATGTTCTTGCTTTTTTAGCTCAG